TTGACTTTTTAACATTTGATATTTCAAAATTCAGTATACTTAATATGCGATTCTTATCCTTAATTTAATACATGCATATGAAACGTATACAAAATAAATTTATTATATTGAGAGCTAAAAGGAAACGTCCTTATCAAAAAATCATCAAATCTATAAATTTATTCTAATTTTATTTTTCTGTATTTTTATGTACAATATTTTAGTAATTTATTCGAACAAAGGATTCAATTAATAAATTATATAATACATTAGATTTTAAGAAAAGAAAAAAAAAAGAAAATTATTTAAACGTAATATAAATCCTTTTGAAAGTAGAAGAGGGAAAAAATCATAAATGAATAAAGAAAAAATCTCCATTCTATTAATTTTATTCTAATTTAGAAAATATCCTTGATTATTTAACCTTTTTTGTTTTAAATTATCTAACATAATTATATTGTATTGTGATATTTGATATATTTCAAACATACATTATCTCTTCATTAATAATTTATTCTCATATACGTATAAGAGAATAGAGAACATATAATAATATTATATATTTATGACAATGAGAACAATATCAATGAAGAGAAGAGAACAACATAAAATTTAACTTCACAAAATTTTAAGATATAGTATGATTTATAGAGTATGGTGAAAATATTAAAAAATTTGTATCTTGTATGACAGAATATGAAAGGAGAACTCATTACTTTCATTAAACTTCACTTTGAATTTCAAATGTTACATAATATTAGTTTATGTTGCTATCTATAGTTCTTAACAAAATGTGTCTATAAATGTATATTTTCAAATTCGATTATTTCTTATAACAAAAATTATTTTCAACAATTATAAATTTAAAAAAACTTTTTCAATAATTTTAATATAAAATGTGCTTAATCTTAATTTTTTAAACCTTGAATACTAAACTGAATGATGTTATACCACACAAAGGTGAGTATACAGTTTGTACTCTAATATCATCATTACATCATTAATTCTGCTAAATTATCTCTCTGCAGTGGATTTTTTTTCCCGAATTAAGAATAAAACAGTACGATGTATTAAGCATGTAATATAGAATGTGGAAAATGAACCTTTTTATTTTTTGTTTGAAAATAAAAGCTCATATCATCATTTTATCGTAAATCTGAACCATTTTATTAAAAGAATATTATCTATGTATGTACATTTATTAAGATAATGTTTTCGATTTTGTAATTTTTGAAATTTATTTTGTTTTTTGAAAAAAATTATCAAAAATCAGTGCAAGAGTAATAATTCTGATAATCAAAAGATGTGTTAAAGGTATAAAGAAATCAAAGGAAAGCACAAATAATTTTAAATAAAATTTCCCTGTTAATGTTAAATTTTATTATAATAAATATTGTTTATGGCCAGCGAATATTATCAAAGTAATATTTACAGTATTTACAGTGATTTGAACCTCCAATATCAGTACAAACCTATAATTTAATAGGTTAGAATTCTCCTAACTTTCACCACGGTAACATAATCAACTGAACCGTTCACATTTAATTTAGTATATACATAGGTATATTGTTATACAAAATATTATCACAATACAATAAATTGCCTACAAATATATAACTTCATTATATTCTATATCGCACATACATGTTTGATTGTATTATGTACTTTAATTTTAACTTTCGATTTCAGTTAAATGGAGTAAATACATTTTTATATTATTACTGTTATTATTATTATTTTCTCTCAATCAATTTTATAGATTGGCACAACAGTGAATTACTTTTATGTTTTTATCTATAATGATGTTTATTTTTTTTTGTTTTTTTTTATTAGAACATGAATTCTTTTATGTGATATTTAAACGGTATATAATGGTGACTAAAAACATTGATAGGTTCATTTTATAAAAATACATACATATACATGCTTTATCTCATGTAATACAATAAAATTAAGTATAGGTTCTACATACATATACATATATGTGTAGTGAGCATATAAAATAAAATTTTATCATATATTTTCCATCTCTCAGTATAATAATATAATTTTAATTTATGTGTGGGTGTAAAGTATATAAATGAATATTTGTCATTTTTTTTTACGATTTTTAAATAAAAGAAATTAAATGAAAAAAGAAATGGAAAGTATTGTTGTTTCTTTTCGAAATAGCATTTAGGTACATACATATATATATAACGGTAATTTAATGATTTGATTATAAATGAACGTATACTGTATATATAAAAGCTGCATTCTTTATAATAAAATTATAACTAAATTTGAACAGTTTGATTTATAAAATTCATCTGAAAACTTACATTAAGCAAAAATCATTGCTTTATCGGTAAATCAGTACAAAAATATTTGTAAATTAAATTTTATGTGTTTTACTGTTTAAATATTAATATTATTCGGTTATACTTACATATGTATACGTATATATATCCTGTGCTATTAGTGCGGTTCTCCCATTATCATAAATAATATATGGCCGAAATTTATTGAGGTAAGAAATAAATTATTTCGAAAAATTAAAGTACATATACAGTGATAAAATATAATGAAAATTAATTTTTGTGTTATGATTCCAATATGGTGTTGTTTTATGTTAGTCCTTGAGATTTTAAGAGTGTATACCTATTTATATTAAATATATTGTACTTACTTTAAATATTACTTTAACACAAAATTTAATTAATTTTTCAAATAAAAATTGTAATTAATTCCAAATTACAGTGAAGCTGAATTTGATTTGTTTCAGGAGGGTTTAAACAGCGAAATTTCTAAATTGTATTACTTACAGAACTTAAAGTAATAGTTATCGTAAAAATTTTAATAAAAAAAACAAACAAATTGTAAATTTTTTTTGTAAACACAAACCAATTCATCCAAATGAATTGGTTATCGTAAAAGACACAAAAACTTTTTTGTGTCTACTGAATAATACTGAATACTACTGTAACTTCAATACTGATATCAAAATAGACCCCATTAGATGATGTATAGAACTCGCTTAAAAACCACCTTAGATAACATTAGTAAAATTTCCTGATTCCAAAAATGAAATGATGTGCGATAAAAGTCTCTAAATAATAGAACTCTGCTATTACATTTGAAATCAGATAATTCTAAGAACTCTTTTAAATTACGAAAGTCACTTAAAATTTCAATTCGGTTTTTCTAAGAATATTCAATTTCTCATTAAAACGCTTCGCTTAAATGCGCATTTTAAAAAAATCGTGCAATTCGTTTTTAAAAAATAAAAACGATTAATTATAATATCTGCAACTAGATGGAGATTGGAAACTTATTGCTTGGTTTTATTTAGTGTCAAATTTCAATGACATTGAAAATATGTAATGTCAGATTCAATTTTATGACAATTCAATATTCATTACTAATTTTTTAAAATAAAAGAACAGTTGCAATTCAAGTTTGATTTGAAAAAGTTTGTTCCTAGGAGGTATACATTTTACGTAGTTTTTTTTTATAGTTAAACTTGAAGTAAATTCTACTAAGTTAAGTTTACAGTTTATTTTAATTCAACCAAATAAAATACAATGAAAGACGTTAATTTGGCATCAGTTGGCTCTATTTATTGAAATGGAACTATTGCATGAGAATGTGCAACGCCGAGTAACAATGCGTTAAAAGACAATTCTTTCCCGTTATTTCAAGCACCTACATAGCTAATATTGAACTTGAATATAAACTATCACTAAAGCGGCTGTTCTACAATTATTAAACCGTTATGGAAATATTAAACGTGTTGCTAGGAGTGACAGATTTGAATACCAACAAATTCATCCAGCCTTATTCAAATAAGATGAAATTTAAAAATTGAAATTGATACATTTATGTACATATGAGTTCAAAATATCGTTTCAATCATGTAACATTCACAAGCTCACTGGAAGAATTATAATGGATCTGGTAAATTTTGAGGTTATGTCAATATTTAAAGGAATTGTAATAATTTTGCATATTGGATTCAAATCATTTTTTAAAATCTTTACCAGATTATCTGGCCTACCACATTAAATTTTGTCAAAAAAGTGAAAAAATTGTTTTTCACAATTTTAATTCGATTAAATTTTGGAACGAAATACGGAACAAAAAAAAAAGAGCGGCAAGAAAGATAAAATATTGCTTTTGATATGGGTTGTATAAAAAGGATAATGTGGAATATTCAAAGAATACTTATTGTTATCATTTTCCTTCAAAAACAACATTAAAATGCTTTTTTTTCTTTTAGCGTATGCTGCAAAAATGCCTGTATTATATTTTTAACCCATCTATTCAGATTCGAAGATAAAAAAAAAATGTTATTGACATTGAAAAGAATTGAAAAAATGTACACAAAATGAAAATATTGTATTAAATTTCAAAATACGGCAAAAATTTTAAATATGCAAATACCTACATACATGTATATATGCATGTAAGTATGCCTATAAAAAATTTGATTGAAGAGGATTAAAAGTTTTGATGTATCAAAATTTTCACTAGAAAGGAATAAAACATAATAAAAATTGAATCCGAATTTAAACAGGAATTCATAGTCATGAGAACAAATTCTGGGAAATCGAATTGCGGTTATAAAATAATTGGTATGTAAATTTTAATATTTATGAATATAATTAGGCATGACTGAGTAGATTCTTTATCTCATTCAAAAAATGTAGTTAGGTATCTAAAAATTATAGGTGGTCCTATAATAGTATTAAAGCCTTAAATTAAAATAAGTAAAGTCTATCAAACCCTATAAAATGCTGTGTATTATAAATTAAACTGAAAATAATATTAAAAGGAACAGATAGGTATGTTCGTCTTTTAATTAAGATGAAGTTTGACTATTCATAATCAAGAGTTCTAATTCAATAGAAACCAACTGCTCGCTTCATAACTTTTTTATTTAAAATTGTGAAGTTTATAACAATTTTTATTTATACCAAATCAAAAATATGTATTCTAAAACACTTATTAATAATTTTTATTTATTTTTCGTTTATTTTCAGGTAAACAACATATTTTTGAATTTAAATGTTTGAAGTAATTATTAATTGAAAGTATTGAGGTGAGCATAAATAATTTTTATATTAAAAACTTTTACACTTTTGTTTTCAAACAACTCTAGAAATAATTCTGTTGTAAATTAAGTTTTGATAAAATGATTTGCTCTACCAAATAATTGAAAAGGAATATGTATAATTTGTTTCGAAAAAAATTTCGCGCGATCAAGAAATTTAAATATTTAACCATTGTGTTGTTTTTGAATTAATAAAAATTTTAACAAGATCATAAAACTCAACCTTAAACTAAAGAAAACCAAATGGAAAACGTTTATATAAATGTTAAATTGTTTTTTAAATTTATCTGAAAAACATTTTTTATTAGATAACATTCCTTTAAAATATCCTTAAAAATTTCAAAAAAAGTCGAAAAACCAAAAAAAAAAACTAAAATCCACAAAACAAGAAACCTAAACCATGATATTTTCCATCACTTCCTTGATCCTTTCATTAAAAACATAAATGTTTTCTAGATTCTTCCTTGCAGACATTATAAAGAAACACACTTTCTATACTGTATGTGATTCAAGGCACGAGTATTAAAGAAAATTAAACAGAAAAAAAAGTTATTTCCTCGTTTATTTTTTTTTTTTTTTTTATAAGATCAGAGTACCCATACAAAATTTCTGTACGATTACAGGGAAAAGATAAAAAGATGGTAATAGTTGCGTTTATTGTTTATGGTTTACTTTGGAATGTTATAAACTCTTTTCTAAAAAAAAAAGGATTGAAAAAATTTAGAATGAGATCTTAATAGAATTTAAACCTTTTTTTTTTTCTTACGCTTTTTATCAAAATCAGGTTAAAGTAAATTTCTTTATATTTATTTCCTCCACGTTTTTATGGTTTTTTTTTTAAATACATTTTTGGAATATAATAGAAGTGACTAATGAGCTTTTAAGTTTTTTATGAGTTTAATTTTTTGTTTCTTTTTTTCGTTTCTGTTTCCTCCTTATTAATCAGAATATTTTTTTTATAAAGTGTATTTTAATTTTTAAAATAAAATATACACAATTTTTCAATCTAATTTTATTATGTATTTAAAAACTATTATTTTCCAAATATGTATGCAATGATGAAAATTTTAACTTGCATTGTGGGAACTCTTGGAAGTTCAACTTCAAAATTGGATTTTATAAATGAACATCAGAACAAAACTCAGCATAGAAAACAAAAAAAAAATGTTTTTCACAAACTTGCCACCAACATGCGATTTACTGCTTTTTAAACGGCCGCTTTTTTTAGATAAAATCTGTAATAAGTTTACAAATTATTTTAAACTTACTATTTTATTTTCAATCCTATCAACATGTTAATGATATGTTGTAGATTTAGAACTATCAAGTGCATAGAAAACAATACTTTGAAGTTTCTTTGTTTTTTTTTTGCCAGATCAACTTATACGTAAATAAAGAAATTATTAACAAATCGTTTATTAATGTTAAAAATTTTATTTCGAAATCTTACGATAAGCTAAAAAAATTAATTGAAAACAATTTTTTTTTTTCAAATTCACGTGCTGCCTTTAAGCCCTAATCTAAGCATTTGTAAAACACTGTTATATTAAGTGGGTAATTTCAACATTACATACATTTGCGTACCTAAGAATTATATAAGAATTGTTAATTGAGATTTTTAAATTATGCAGGTGAATTAAATCGTAAATTTTCTTAAACTTAATTCATTAATTTGTATAAGGATATTAAAAAAGGATACATTCATTTTCTCTCCCTTCTCACTTTTTTTCTCTTTAATTTCTGTTTATTTTTTTTTTTCTTTGATTTAGGTTTTTCTAAAGGATATTTTATATTTTATATAGAATTTTTAAGGATAATTTGTCTGCTTTGTTTTTCAAAAATTTCTTTATAAAAAGCAAAATAAATGTTTTTCTTTTGTAGTTTGTTTTTATTTTTTTTTTCTACCTTTTCTATTGTTATTTTATTTTTTCACTTTGCGTCTCGTTTTTTGTGATAAGGAAAGAATAGCAGTGAAAATATTTTAAATATTTTCTAAGAAAAAATAAATGATAATTATAAAATAATTTTAACAAAAATTAATATTAATGCCAGCAAAAAAAAAAAATCTCTAATTTCTTAAAATAAAGTAATTAGGAATTTTGGTTTCCTTGAGAACTGAAAAGAGGAAAATAAGGAAAATTTTCACTTGTTTTAAATTTTTATTTTATTAAATAAAAATTTTTTTTTTCTTTTAAGGTTGTGTTATTGTTTAAGAGATTTTAAAGAAAATTATTGTGGAAGAAATTTTTATTAAGGTTGGGTTCGAATGAAATAAAATGAGAAAATATTGAAATTTTCTAAACAGAATTGCTATTGTAAGGAAAAAAAACATTTTTAATTTTGTATAACCTTTCAAATGACTAGTGCTTTGTTGGAATTCCGAACCTTTCTATTTATTTTAAATTTAAATGTAGAAAACAAAATTTCACGTTTTCATTCTTTATATATTTTTGAACTAAAAATAAATATAGAAGAGGAACCCATAAAATTCCATTAGTATTTTATTTGCTTTGCAATAAAAATAAAATATTTCTTAACCTTTAATACTTTGTTGATTTCATAAGTATTAGAAATTAAACGATAATAAAAAGTAATTTTAAGATCTTAAATTTTGATATTATAATATTTTCGAGGCTTTACAGCAAATAAATTTTAATATTTTCGGAGGATTCGTAGATCAGGTTTAGATTTTGCCAAGTTGTGCTTTATTTTTATTTTGTAATGATATTTAAAAGTAGATATGCATATAGAATTTTATTCAATAATTTGTATATTGTAAATTAATAATTGATATTATTATTAATATTTTATATATTGAAACAATTGTATTTTATGGAGTCAAGTCCAGCATTTTGCAACTCTCATCGCAGTATTTATTACAGTTAATTGTTCTAATTCGGAATTCTGCACATAAATTTCAAAAAACTAACATTTTGAAGTTTTAGATTTTGAGATCTGTTCCAGCTTCACACTATCAACTATAAACATAAAAAATTAATTCAGAGAATTGAAAGGAAGCAAATCTATGATATATTAAAGAACAAAGTTTTAAGAATAAGCACATTTTCTACATTACTAAATGAAAATATTAAATAAAAATTGCTTCGTAATCCAAAAACCAAAAATTTTTCTTAAATTTTTAATTAAACATTAAAAAATTTTAAAAAGTCTAGTTAAATGTCGATGGTAATTCTTGCGTATAAATTTTTAGTTAATCAATACTGCTAAATACGAAATTTCCACTTTAATGATTTCATTTTGTCTTTAATGTTTTTACTCTAACTGACTTAATTTTTCCCTTTGTATATCAAAAGATTTTCTTTTTTCTTTTCGTTTCATTAATTTTCAAAAGGACAATATGAAGTTGATCTTCTGATTAATGTAGACTTTGCTTTAATATAACTGTATCCTGGATACTTAACGAATTTTCTCTTTGATTTTAAAATTAAAAAAATAAAAGACTGCTATAAAAGTTATTTTGTCTTTTACATGATTAATTATTTAAAGAAAAAATTAAACTACTGAAGACTTGAATGGAATTAAGGATTAAAAAATTAGATGGCATTGAAAAAATATTTTGAAAAATTTTTAATTAATTTTTCATGTCGCAACAATAAATACTAATCAATATTTTAAAATATAGCATAACACTAAAAATGCTGTTTGTCTTGATATTTCAAACTCATAATAAATAATTACAATAGAACATATTGCAGAGATTCGGTTTTTTAATCTGATTGCACTTGGAAATAAATCGCTGAATATAAGCCTTAATCCCAAATTACTACATAGGATTTTAATATTCAGTGCTAGCCATCTTAGTGAAATAAAATCAGTAATATTAAAAAGTTGTTTTAATAACTTTTGGAAAATAAATTTAAAACATGTTAAAGTTTTAATATACATAGATACTTTAACATTTCTCTATGGCCACATTCTCCACAATTTATTTCATTTGCTCATTAATTTCAAGAAGTAATTTTCCTGTAAATGACAACGATATTTATAAATATCAGCTTGTTATTTCTTTCAAGGTTCTTATTATTTTTTTAAAATTTTCGAAAGGTTATTACATTTTTTTTTAATTTCCTCGTTTATAGTAACATTTTCCGACATTTCAAATTAAAAAAATTCCGGTTTCCATTTCTTACTCAATTTTAATCATCCTTTAATTTAATTTCAATCGATTTTAAATTGAATCGCTTTTTAATAAGAATTCTGTAGAGTACTTAGACTGCAACAGTTAATTTTTTTGCAGATCATCATTAAATGATAATTAAATACTACTGCAATCATTATTTTTCACGAATTTCCTTATTAAAATTGAAATTTCTTCAGACATTCAAACATGTCAGATGCATAAAAGTTTCTATATAAAATTTCCCTTGAAAATTTTTCACATTTCCATACAATTGTTAACGGTTTACAAAATTTTCCTTAGAAATATTAGTATTCCTTACAAACTTTTAGAACAAAAGAAAAAGTATTTTTCTTTTTTCAGAAAATAAAAAAAAATTTATATCAAGTTATCCTTTTTTTTTCGATTTTTCATTTTTATTTTAATTATTTTATTAAATCTATTAAAAACTAATTTTTAGATTCTGGTTTTTTTTTGTGGAACAAACAAATAAAAATTTTGCTAGTTTAACGAGGATAATCATTTAATTATTAGAGCACGCAAACAAATAGAATAAGGAAAGCTAAACAAAAAAAACCAAAACTGTTCGCTGTCTTAAGAAATTCAAAAAGAAAATTTTAAAAAATAATCACAAAGGAAGAAAACCAGGAATTCATATCTTTTATTTCGCATGCAACAAAAGAGACGACGTGATAAGGAAACGGAAGTAACACGAAAAACAGCAACAAAATAAAATACCAAAAAGATATTGAAAAGGAACAAAAAAAAAAAAAGAAGACAAGAAGTAAATTTGAAAAAAGATAAAGGAAAACATAGCAGTTTGTACGCGCATTTAAATAAATAGAAAGAAACTGGAAAGAAAATAAAAGAAAAATAAGGATTCAGGATGATGGAAAAATGAATTTTTCAAGATTTATTGAATGAAAAAGATATATTGGTATGTGTATTCACTCTCTTTATCCTTTATTCCATTTTTTTTTTTTGGTTTTTGTCTTGTTATTTATATTTTACTGAATTCTGTCAAGGATTTATCAAATTTAACACTCGAATTATTAAGAAAAATGTAAAGAAATATAAACGACTTTTTTTTTCATTAGGAGGTTTTGGAAATGACGTAATTTTTGGATGAAAAAAAAACCAAGAGTCAAGTTATGAGCGAACCATTTAGTAGTATTCTCTTATTTATTTTGTTTTTTGATATCTCGTTTTAAGTAAAGGTTTAAGTTTCTGATTTAAATTTCTTATAATTGAACTGATTTTAGTTTTATTATAAATTGGAAAATTAAATTCATTTTTCAAATTAAAATCAAATTCAGTCGAATATAAGATTTTGAAATAATTAGTTGTTATGATTAAATGACCATTAGATATAGGAGAGGATCGGATACTGTTCCTAAATTGTCCAGCAACAAATTATTATTCATAATTGTAAAATTTTTTTTTTTATTTACATTATTGCTCAGACACTTACGAAACTGTCCATTACCTAATAATACTTAATAAATCTGCATTTGATGATTTACGACTTAGGAATATCATGCCTCTTATAGCATAATTAGAATTTATTTCCTATCAATTGAAACATTCTCAATGATTTTATCAAATTAGATGAGCACTCTTTCATGATTCATTAATTTTCTTTTTGTCTTTTATTCAAATTTATTTTGGTTTCACCATATTTTTATTTTTTGAAATTTTTAAATAGAAGTAAAATTAAAATTTAATTTGTTGCGATTTAAATAAAATGTTTTAAATAAATAATTTCGAATATATGAAATGACGTTAGAATTATATAGGTTTTTTCAAAACTGCTAATATTTGTTTTTATTAAAATTAACTAAGACTTAATTGTTGAGTTGTTGAGTAGTGAGTTGTTAAGTGGCTTAACTGAAGTTACTGGTATCGATCTGCTAATTTACACATTAGAAATCTCTGCACATTTTTTTAGGAATCAATCTGTATTCCTAAAAGTGTTCTTAAGACTAAATACTCTAATTATGTGACTTAATAGTTGATTGGTTTGTTGAAGTTACCCGCTAATTTTCACACAACAAAAACTTATTTTTTTAGGAATCAGGATGTATTCCTAACGGTGTTTTTCCTACAAGTGATTACTTTAACTATGTCTTCCCACAGAAGAACAATTTGACTATTTGTAGAGCAGGGCATTTACAGAAGTAATTGAAAAGTTTTACTTTATTACTTATAGCCGCGACATAATGAATTAAAAGATAGTCCTAATCAAGCGGGGTTAAGAAATTAAAATTAAATATAAGAAATTATATTGAATTTGAACTCAAAATCTAATTTTTGGAATACAAACCGAATTATATTGAATTTTACTTTATTTTAGTTTCAAAATCTTGTTTGGAAAAAACCATGTAAATTTTTCAAATTCTTCTTTCCTAAATTAAATCATTGAATTTTTCTTTTATTTAAAGTAATTTCATCGTTTAACTTTTACAATTGAACTGTATACAAATCCTGTACTTAATATTATTTTTATTTTTATTTTAATTCAATATCAAAATCGTTTACACAGGGAGGCTTCTTGTAACAATAACTTGAAACCAAAGAAGTCGAAAAAATTTTCACACTCACATTTTTCACATTTATAATAAAAGCATTTTATCGTAAAGTTCCTTTTTACTTTTTTTTTGTTGCGTTCTATTCAAACTTTTATAAATAAAAAAAAACTTTATTTTTATTTGCCGCAACCATAATAATAATTCATGCATAAATATCAGTCACAAATTTTCTATTATATTTTATGAATGGGTGGTGTGCGTGTGTGTTATGTATCTATAAGTATCTGTTCTGTTAATGCTTTCATTTTTAGTCTTATTCGACAGTCTATCTTTTGGAAAAAAAAATCCCAGAATCTTCTTCATATTTAAAAATGTTCTCGTTGTTCTCTTCTCGCATAGAAAATATTATGCCATGTTCATACAATGAAAATATACAAAAAAAAAATATTATTTACGAAATATCCTTGCTTTTTTTTAAATTTATTATTATTATAATATACGAGATGTTGTTAACCCTAACGGAAAACAAAAACGAGTCTATCTTTTGAATTCGAGAACCTCACCGATAAAATAATAAGTATTATGATTTTTTTTATCTCTCCTCTTATCGTTTTTAAGGTTAAGGTTTTAAGAAGCCAGATGTGTTAAAAGAATATTTTTTTAAATATTAAAATTAATACCCACTGAAATTTTTTTTTTCCTTTCAATATTATAAACTTTATACACATGCTAATATCTTTAAAATATGTGTGCGTACGAACGTGCATCAATTTTATCGGTTTTCAATTCGTTTTCAGTTTTCAATATTTTTATATGGGAGGAAAATTAATAATATAAAAATCGATTTTAGTTAAAAAGAAAAAATCACTTCGCTCCAATGAACTTTTAAAAGAAAAATTTTTAAAAATATTTGGAAATTAATTTTTAATATTTTATCCAATACAAAAAAAAAATTATGTAAAATGTTGTTAGGAATGTTTGCATTAGGAGTAAAATAGAGTAATAAATGAAGCAGTATCAGGTTCACGTTTGTATCTAGATACATCTAGATAAAGTGATTTCTGTTCTATGTTTGATTATTTAAAATCGGGGTTTGTAAGAGGCCGGCTGAGCTACTGCCTTTAGTCATCTATTTCTAAAGATAGAACATTATTTACATAATAATAAGAACTACGAGTAGGCTCTAATTCTTAAAGCTTTAAATATTCTCTGACATCTGAATTCAGTGTTAAGATGAATAATGTATGCTAAAACTAGGAATAAGCATGTGCGTGTACCAATAAAATTTTATAAGTAAACAATTTTACATCTATTTTATGTCTGTTATGTGTATTAGACCATGCCTATCGCAATTAGTTCTTTAGTTTCGTAAATTTTTTTAACTTCTATTAAATTCATAAAGCTACTTATTAGCATTTTAACTTTGAAAATTTCATAAAATACTCTTTAAATATCAAATTAAACAGCTAGAGGACTTAAGTAAAAGTCTATTCAATACTGCGACATTCGGTGTAAAATTGAAATTTTCTAATACGTATATTTTTCCCTAATTTGTTTTTTTTTTTTTGCAAAAATTAATTTAGAATGTTAATAGAAAATTTTTGCCTGAATAGAACGAGGAAAATATTTAAAAAAAAAAAATTCTTTTATTTATTGGTTTTCAATTTTTGTTTTGTTTTATTTTACTTGTTTTTCTTCTTTAGCGTAAATCAATAACGTTAACAAAATATTTATTGAAAATTTCATATTGACTACTATACAAAGTTGAAGAAGCTGAAGTTTTCCTAAGGATGTTAAAGTTTTGTTTTATTTTCCTTGTTCGAAATTTAGACTTAAAGGCGGCATAATTTAAAACAAAAAAGAAAACAAAAATAACAGAGAACAAAAGTTTCGTGGCGTTTTTATTGTTTTCCGTTCTTTCTTTGGCGTTTATCAGGAATAGAAAAAGTTACAATTTTCAGAATGTTGTAGAAAAAATTAAATTCTATTATATTTTGAAATGAAACGCTTATTTTCTTGTATTGTATGACATCTTGATTAAGTGCCTTTCTTTGTAAATATTTAAGAAATTTGACTATCTATAATTATTAATAATTTCGTATTTCAGCATGAGTACTTGTTGAAATTATATTTATTTGAATAAATAACAAGGGTGTATATCATAATGAATCATTCTTATACATATATAGGCATATTTTCTAAATATATGACCATTATATCATATTTTCTAGTGTTACATTTTCCAAAAAGAGTTGAAATATAAAAGCTATTTAAAATTTTAGTTTTAAAAGTGCAGATATTAAACTACTAAAAAATATTTTAGCAGTACTTTAAATTATTAATAATATTAAGATTCTGAAAAACTTAACATTTTATTTTCAGCAAGTATTTTCCCTAAACTTTAAGTATGGCATTTGGAATAATTTTTCATTTTTAAAAAATTTAAAACTCTCAAAAACTAATATTAGATAAATTTCCATGGAAAAGTATGAAGTATCATTATGATGCAATTTTGAAAATTATTTTTCTCATTTAATTTAAAACTTTCGGTTATGTGGTTTTTTCGTCGAGTATTATACACTATACAAATATCTTTGACTTTATTTTGAATACATATTTCATAAAAATTCTGAATTTACTTTGAATTAAGTTTTATTAAAAATTTTTTGTGTCATAATGAGGAAAATATTTTGCGGTACACAGTTTTTTTTAAATACATTTTTATAATAAATGTAGTAAACTTTTACAATCAAATATTTGTCACATAGCCATTCTGTTACGAAAAATGGAAGTTTATTCAACGGAAATTCATTATATGTATATTAATAATTTATTAATACACATATATTATTTCGCCATTTATACTCTAAGACACAACTAAAAGCCCTTTGAACTTATTTCTAAACATGTTATCTTTATATTGTTTTTAAAACCTGAATTACACTTGTTTCGCGTGTAATTACTCTTAGATTTAAGTCTATGCATGGTCCCTTTTCTTTTAGACTTACAGAGAGAAGAAATCTCTAAATTTAAATGTGTATTTAGTATATTCCACAAAAAAAAAAAATTTAAAAAGGACAAGTAACTTTAATAATAAGTAGTTTTCTAGGATAATTCATTTTTTTATTGTAATAAATAAAATTTACTTAAGTTTTGACCAAACCATAGATTTTTTCATTATAAATAATTATAGTCACATTAATTTATACCCTAAAATTATAAATTCAAAGAAGCATACAATAAAATAATTTTAAACAGAACTAGTTATCATTTTAAATTAATTATTTTTTTTTTCGGCATCTTCCGTACTCTAAATATTTCCATTTCCAAATTAAATTTTCTTATATAACGAACAGATACGTTATACATATATTATATAATTTACGTTTGAATTACTTCTTAAAATATT